ATAAATAAAAACCAGTAACCAGAAGTTATAAAGTATTTGTACAAATCAATTTGAAAAAGATAAACAGCCAAGTAGGAAAATGGTTAAACAACATGAACAAGCATTTCATTGAAAAGGAAACACATATGGCCAAAACATTCTCATTCATGTTACTTGAAGTCCTTCTATTCTTTTGATATATGCATTTATTCCTATAAATTTCACCCTTAGTACTGATTTTGCTGTATCCCATGGATTTTGGCATGTTACATTTCCATTTTCATTTCTTTCAAAGAATTCTTTCATTTCCTTCTTCATTTCTTCATTGACCCATTGGTCGTTAAGGAGCATGTTGTTTAATTTCCATGTGTTTGTGTATTTTCCAAGTTTCCTTTTGTTACTGATTTCTAGTTTTATCCACTGTGGTAGAAGAAAATAATTGATACAATTTCTATTTTTTTTAATTTGTACAGACTTGTTTTGTGGGCTAAGATGTGGTATATTCTGAAAAATGTTCCATGTGCTGATGAAAAGAATGTGTATTCTGCAGCAGTTGAGTGAAATGTTCTGTAAATGTCAGTTGGGACTATTACATCTAACTGTACTGTTTCTCCACTGATTTTCTGCGTGGATGATTGTCCATTACTGAGAATGGGGTATTAAAGTCCTCTACTATTATCACATTGCAGTCTACCTTACTCTTTAGGTCTATTGTTTGCTTTATACATTTGGGAGCTCTGGTGTTGGGTGTATAGCTATTTATAATTGTCATATCCTTGTGCTGAATTGACTCCTTTATCATTATATAGTAACATTCCTTGTCTTTTTAAAAGTTTTTGATTTGTAGTCTATTTTATCTGATAAGAGTATAATTACTCCTGCTCTTTTTTGGGTTCCATTTACATGGAATATCTTTTCCCACCTTCCCTTTCAGTCTAAGAGTGTCTATAGGTGAACTGGGTTTCTTGAAGGCAGTCTATAGTTGGGTCTTGTTTCTTTATCAATTCAACCACTCTGTGCCTTTTAATTGGAGAATTGAGAACATTTACATTCAGTGGTGTTACTGATTGTTTTTTGGTTTTACTGAGACTTCTCTTTTCCTTTTTTATTTTCTTCCTTTGTAGTTAAGTGAATATCTCTGGTGGTATGTTTTAATTTGTTGCTTTTCATTTTTAGTGAATCTAACATAGGTTTCTGCATTATGATTATCATGATGCTTACAAAAACATTTTAGAGATATAAAAAGTTATTTTAAAGAGACTGCAACTTATATTAGAACACAAATAAAAGAACAGAAACAAACCTAAAAAAAAATTCTACACTTTAAACCCCCCACCATCTTGACTCTTGGTTGTCTCAATTTACATATTTTAAAATTACCTATTTCTTAACAGGTTGCAGTAGCTATTATTTTTTTTTGATAGATTTGTGTTTTGGACTTTGTACTAGAGTTATGGGTAGACCGCACATCACAAACACAGTAATCAAGTATTCTGGGTTTGTCCATGTACTTACTGGATTTTATACCTTGAAAAGTTCTCCTTTGTACGTTACTGTTTTTTTCTTTCATAGTTAAGAACTTCCTTTAGCATTTCTTACAAGATGGGTGTGGTGGTGATGAATTTTCTCAGCTTTTATCTGTGAAAGACTTTATCTCTCCTTCAAATTTGGATGACAATTTTGCAGGATACAATATTCTTGGGTTGCAGGTTGTTTCTCTGAGTACTTTGAAAATGTAATTCCACTCCCTCCTGGCCTGTAAGGTTTCTGTTGAGAAGTCCCTTGCCAGATGAATTGGGGCTCCTTTATATTTGCTTCTTGTCTCTCGCTGCTTTTAGGATCTTCTCTTCATCCTTGACCTTTGTCCTTTTTGGGAGGTCTTGGTTCCTAGCTTGCTGTTGTTTCTTGTGGGTATATGGTCTATGTCTTTGCACTGAAGGATAAGTGATTTATTCCAGTTTTCTCTTCCCAGCTTGTTTTGTTTTTTATTGAATATATCTACTTTAATGAAGCTACTAGGTTGCTGCCTCCTTTTTGGCTCTAGGTGGCGCCTTAAACCCAGATTCACCTCAGTTCTAGTAAATGGTCAGAACACTGTCCCAAATTGGGGGTGTCCCATATTGGGGATATTCCAAAGGGATTACCTCAGAATTGTAAGATAACCAGGCAGTGGCTAACGGTTCATGCCTATGGCACCTGGGGAACATATCTCCTATAGCCACTCTCATTTGACATCTCCTTTTGCAGAGATATCCAGAGCAGGGTTTCCAGGTTGGGGATGGTAGTCCCACTTCTTCCTTTTGTCTCTGCCTGTCTTCCAATATATTTCTCCCTTCAGGCAGTATTAAGTCACTATGCTACCTTAGGAAAAGGACAGGTCTTCTGCCAAGGAGCCCAAGAAGGTGGGAAAGCTGGTTGACCACGTCAATTTCACTTTTTTCCAGTGTAGGAACCATGAGTTAAGGGGAAATTTTCTGCATGCTTAGTGCCTGGAAGAACGGCGGGAGGGGCATCACAGACGTCAAAGTCCAGTTCTTCCACCATCTGCTTGGAGTTTTTCCACTTCTCAGTGGCCCTAGGAACTGTTTCATCCTCACACTTGAGCTCTGAGTTGTTGCTGATAAAGATCTTGGTTCTGTGTATTTGTTTGTGTGTGTGTGTTGGGGCGGGGTGGGGGGAATGAAGCCAGCTTGCCTCTGCCACCATTTTGGAACCAGAAGCCCTTGGAGTTGATTTTAATAGCCTGATACTTTTTTTTTTTTTTTTTTAGACAGAGTCTCGCTTTGTTGCCCTGGCTAGAGTGAGTGCCGTGGCATCAGCCTAGCTCACAGCAACCTCAAACTCCTGGGCTCAAGCAATCCTTCTGCCTCAGCCTCCCGTAGCCTGATACTTTTAAATGACATTATCACCTCCCTTATGTTGTTAGTATTGTCAACATAATTTTTTATGGGCTTTCCCAGAATCTTCTGGCTAGAATCACCAGCTAGAGTAAGTTCACTTTCTACTAAGTGATTTTGTTAACAGCCTTTGCAGCATTAAATATAATCAAATGTTTTGGAATTTGGGTTTATAAGTAGGCTCAGGTTTTGGTTTAGGTCCTCTGGGTTCTCAATCTAGAGCTAGGACTTGACATAACAGTTTGGAGTTGTTTCTCTTAGGAATGTGATGTACCTAATCATGACACTAGAAGAAGTCTTGGCTCAAGCCTATTGCTATTTGTAAGGATAAGTCCACAATCTTCCTTTGTCAGCATGCAAAACAGAATCCTAGGCAGCACTACGGAAATGTGTGTGTGCTGTGGGGGGATGGGTAGGGATGGTGTTTTCAACCTTCTTTCATGAGTAAGAGAATAAACCCAGACCTTGGCTTCAAGTAAAGTTAAACTGGCCAGTCCCCTGTCTTAAGTGAAGTCCTTTTAGACTGCTTTATACTGGAGGTGACAAACTCTGACACTGTCATTTCTAGGAGCCCTGAAAGATCACAAGCTTATGATTTTATGAGTCTCTCATTTTATTCATGAAAATGTTCATTAAATATTTGAAATCAACTGTCATTTTTGTTTTCTCTTTTTAGAATGTTTCATTATTGCTCTGTTTTGGGATCAGAGAGCAATCTTTTCATGTATTAACCTGAAAGTTCTCTAGCATTTCATTTACAACCAATTTTTATGCCTGGATGACATGACACACGGATATTTTTACAAAGCTCAACTTTTAGTAATCTTTAGAAGGATTAGAAATAATACGCAACATGTAGAATAATCTACAGAGGAGATAACATTTAGATTTCCCAGTGGAATCTTCATAGGAGAGAGATAATTACTTTTCCCTCAACTTCACTCAAGTGACAACGATGTGTTTTAAGAGTCTGTATTTAAAACATCACATTGTATCTCATAAATATATATAATTATTATTTATCAATTAAAACTAAATTTAAAAAACTTTGCTAGCTATGGAACAAAAAAAATAATAAAAATAAAAACCTATATTACCTTAATGTATCTTTCACTATAGATTAAAAATGAAGTTTTTCTGTTGCTTAAACATTTTCTAATAAAGTGCCATAATAATAAAAAAATTTCATCTTATTCTGTAGGAAATCTCTTATGGTAACTTAAACTGAGTAAAAAACTTCTAAGTCATACATACGGATAAATGGCTTCTTTAACGTTTCCAAAAACCTGTTTCCCAATCATTATGATGGTCAACTGGGTTGTTAATTCTATTAGACAGCCTCCAGGATCACACTAGTTGGAAGAAAGAGGGGAGAAAAAAGAAGTAAATGATGAAAGATGCAATTTTATAACAACTAAAAGAGATCATAAACCATAAGATGAGAATCTCAAAATTTTGGTTGGAAGGAATAGTAAGGGATCAAAGAGATATTTAACCTAATAGTTCCAAACATGATTAAAGACCAGTGCCAGGCTAGCTGCACTAGATTGATCTGATTGTATAAAAAACATACATTTCTGGGTCTCATTCTTAGAAAAGTCTGAACCTTTCTGTCTGGGTTAGGGTTGGGAGTTGGTATATTCTCCATGTGATTTGGATGTGCAGCCAGGTTTGGAAACCATTGATCTAGTCTAACTCTATAACCCATAGTGAAGCCCTTTCTTCAGAAAGTAATCATTCTTCCTTTGCAGGAAGCTTCCAGAATGAAGAACTTATCTCATTTTATAGTTGCTGTTATTATTTTACTACCAAACCACAGGCACAATATAACTTCTTGCCCAAAATGTACTAGAAAGTCTATCAAATTAGAGGATTCATCTGTGGACAGAGTCCGTATCTAGACTTCTCTTGCAGCTTGACAACATCTGAGTTAGAACACACAAAAGGTATTGAGTCAATACTGTGTTACTGAAGCCTACAGACCTCATCTCTCAAGAGAATTCTTACCTCTTCACTTCTCCACACATTAAACATATATGTGTATTTTCCAGGATAGCCCACCAACTTCCCTTTAAAGAAAGCTACGTAGAAGCAGGATGAGTAATAATTTACAAACTGAAACAGGAACATTTTCAAGGTAAGACTGCTCTCGTACTCCTGGTAAGTTCGAGGAATTTCTGGCAAATAAAAAACACCAATGTTTAATGCACCTTCCAGTTTCTCCTTGAACTTGTACTCCCTGGGACAAGTGGACATCTAGTCATTCTGAGAACCTATATAAATGCTTCCCACTCTAGTAACAGCAGACCAATATCAATTGTGCTAGGCTTTCTCTTAGACACTTTGTATTAATCTAACCACTTGAAAGGCGTAGGAAGCAGTCATTATCACATTTAGAGGGATAGAATACTTGTCTGGCGGCCACACAGCCAAAACATAAAATTTAAAACCATGTACAACTGAAGAGCCTTACGCTCATCCAAACACAATATGCTATCCCATAAACATAGACATGTCACACCTCTCTCTGTGTCTCTGTCTCTGTCGCTCTCTGGTTTAAACAAAGTAGGCTCTGCCAAGGAGCAGGGATGATTTCCAGCTGCATTGTGTTTCCCTCATGAATTAAATGGCTATGTTAATTCTGAAAACAATGTGACAGAAAATGATGGCAGAAATAGTACACATTTCCCCTCTCCATCACTTAAAATGCATGGCTGTGATCTGTCATTTAACACATTCCAAGACAAGGAAATACTGAATCCTCTTCACTCCACATAGAACATGATGAGGCACAAAAGAGTAAGGGAGCATGTTTTCCTGAGCTGAGGATCTCTCCAGAGCATGAACTGATCCAGCCAAATCCATTTTCAAAAATATGGAAATAGTAACACAAATTACTCTAAAGGCACAGATAGCTCCTCCATTTTAGTAAAATTTGGCTTCATTCCTACAAAACCTTTATTGATTTTTCTCACTGATTTTTCTCAATGAAGAGGGCTAGACTTTTCAGGTGCTTTTAAAGCAGTTTATATGCTGTGACTTTCTTGGTGTCGCTAGCAGAGAAAAGAAGTAAAACTGACAGAGAGGAGCTACAAGCTTGAAGATAATATATAATGAAGGTTACTTCCCAGCGCTCTTTTTGCTTAGCATCGGCATGATGTCAGTATAAAGATTTAGAGGAGGAGTTGGTGCCCCCGAGAGCACTCAGAGAAGAGGCTGACGCCCTAAATTGAGTCTCTAATCTTATTTCAAACTTGTCACTGACAAGACCAGAAGTGAGTGTGCTCTGTGCTACTCTCTTTGACTGAATCCTTAACTTTACCTGTGACCCCCTTCACTTTCCCTCATGGATTTAGGAGAAATTTTAATATTTTAACAAGAAAATAATCCAAGTTTTAAGAGATGGCAACTGAAAAGAAAAAGTACTAAATTTTAATTTATTTAGGAGGAGGAACTGATTATTCTGTTTTTTTCTTGATGGCTTTCAAATACCTTCCAAGACACATACACCTAAAATAATAGTTGTCTATGTCTTGAGTAGAATGAGGATTTTACTTAGGATTCAACTAGGCCCGTCAAGGGGGGATTCAGACAAGAATACTCGCAAAGATCTACAGAGTCCAAATTCTTTTTTCAATTCTTATTCCTGCTTCCATTATAATGGGCCTGAATGTAGCTCTTAGAGGATTCTGAAGTAACAGGCTATGGGTCTACCTACAGAGCAAAACTGCCTTAAAATGTACCCTTAGAAAATGAACTCCCTGGGAGATGATCCAAAATGGATGTATAGCATTCGTAGAAATCCTTTTTCAAGGGTCACACTAATGATTTGGCCGGCTTACCCATTTTTGTAATCCAGGCAGATATCTTTTCATAAAAGAAATTCAAGATCAAGATGACAATAAAGTTCAAGCACGATCCTGTGAGTGATGTGGCTATCTGGGGAGTAAGGAAACTTTTGACTTGCTTTAAGGATGCATCCCTTTCCATGAAGCTAGCAAATGTAGCAAAGACTGACAGGCGGTACACAATTACAGCTACCATGCTGCTGACGACAAGAGACATCTGAGAAAGGGAAACAGAATTGGTTACTTGGGTCTCTGTATCTCTGTGACATACACATACCTAGAACACTGACTACTTTGTTCATCTCATTATATTAAGTTTAGCAGCCCTCACATGCAAAGAAAACCAAGTCAGCCTCTCTTACCAGAGAGGCCAGGAAATGAACACTGGCAAGGTAAAAGGGTTAGAGATAATGCATATGGTAGCAGCTGGCTAAGTCTAAAATAGAAAACATGTTCATGCCCATCCTGTAGGCCCATCGTCTAGCAGGCATTGGCAAATTATAGCAGAAGGCCCAATCCTGCCCATGGCCTTGCCTAGTCTTACATAGCTCTTAAAGTTAAGACTGTTATTTTGCATTTTTAAAGCTTAAAAAGAAAAATAAAGACAATTATGGGCAAGAGACTATATGTGGACACAAAGCCTAAAATATATCTGGCCCCTTTACAGAAAAAGTTTGCTGACCCATGCTCTTGGTTGTAGTTAAACATGTAGAATGAAGATCACTTACTTTCCCAAGAAAAATACATTTAAAGATTGTATTTCATTTCTCCTCAGAATGTTGCCATTATTGGTATGATATGCCACTAATATTTAATAGTTTAGATATTTATTTAGATTCTGTATAAATTTTGTACTCTTCCAATATTGCAAAAGCACAAAGAGGGCTCAACAGAGAATTTTATCCTAAAAGTTGTGGAAGTGAGTCAAATTGAATGAGAATTAGAAATCAAAAACAGAATAATCTTTCTGGGACCATACTCTAGAATGTTTCTAAAAGAGTGTCCTGAATTGATTACTGTCCTCCTTTTAGTCTATCACATCTCTTCAATGATTATTATATAATCTAAGAAAACACATTTCTACTAACTCTTTAAAACAGGAAAATAAAGCTTTAACAAGAAATGTTAAAGATAAAAAATGGAATTTATGGACTGGGTGAGATTAAATTATAGTCTACAACTGTTAATTATGTATGTTTCAATCTGCTAACCCCTCAGATGGTTATACCACCTCTTTTCCTAAAATTAAAGACTTAAGAGGGCACACATTTGGAAAAGAGAAGGCAGGAAATAGACTATGGTCATGGAGAAAACTATTAGCTGAAAGGCATGGAGAAAACCTGACTCCCGCACAATGTGATATACTAATTAAATTCTTCAAGTAGAAGAAGAAACATTATTTATAAACATTGTTTATCTCAGTGACAGAATGAACTAAAGTTGAATTTTTTATTCATTTTGTGCAGATATTTTAAGTGGAGACAAAGATGAACAATTTTTCTAAAACTAACCAGAGAGTCTGTAATCCAAGTATGTTTATTATTCTGTTCTGGTTTCAAGTGATCACTTAATTAATGAAATGTCATGAGGAAGGGAGGGACAGGCTCCAAGCTAAAGCACCTCTCTCTTCTCCTAGATCTTTTCCCGAAGTTCAATTATGAAAAATCCATGTAAATTATAGTCTATTTTATATACAAGATGTAACTAAGATAAAAGACCAGGATGAGGGGAGAGAGGGATGCAAGAGCCACTGCAGGTAAAACTGTTGAGATAATCCTAATTGCTTGTTGAAGAGATGATAACAGATTTTAAAGAAATGCTCACCCATAATACCACTGTGGCTCCTGAACAAAAGTACCATGGAAGACGAGCACATAGAGGCATGTAAGGTTCCATCTCCTGTAATGTTGGGAAAAAAACACAGAAAAGTTTTAAATCTACCCTCAAAACTGGGACTCCAAGCAGGTGTCAAAATTATAGAGCCCAATTAATACAGAAACCTCCCCAAAGGGCCCATTATAGCTCATGGAAAGCTACATTCTAGCAATGGTTCTTTCTCTTGAAGTAGAAATCTTTGGGCCTCCTAGATAAGATATCTTATACATAATATGAGATACAATAGATACATACTATTTCCTGAATATTATGGTATTCGGGGCCCAGTAGTCAGGAAGCCTGAGTCAAATCCTGAGGGTTGCTGCTTAAGTGAACATGCTTTAGTAATGGTACAATTTTATTCTGATTGAATTGAATCGTGTATTGCTCTGTAATTGCTCTGCATGATATTAAAATTGGATACATTCTTTATATTTATAGGATAAACTGTGTTCTTCCACATAGCTTAGAAGCCCAGACTTTTCTACATTCAGGCTTTAAAAGTCATTGATGGAAGATATTAATTATATCAGCTGACACTCTTAGGTACATAAAGAGGTAGGTAGATATTACCCAAAGGAAGTAAAAAAACAGTAAAAAAAAAGTTGTCAGAAATCTAAATCATATTAATTCTATAAAATAAAAGATTTCATATTTTAAGGACTTTCAGTGAGGTGTGAATACAAACAGAACTCTCAACAGGCAAAGTAGGCTGTTCAAGAGCTCTATAGAACCTCAAGATGTGTGTGCACATGTGCATACACGTGATTGTGTACAGGTATGTTCACTCTGTGTGTGCTCATGCATATGAATGGATATTTCTGTGTGTAGATGTGTTTGTGTCCATGCCTGTGTGTTCCCAACACAAACTCACACGTGAGAGTAGAGTTGTGCTTAAACATTGAAGAAGCACTATAAATAAGTAAAAATAACCCTCTGCTGCTTGATTTCAAAACCATTAAAGCTAAGTGAAGTAGGTGATTCACAGCGAATCAATACATACTGCTTTCAACTGGTTTCAAATGTAAACAGTCAGTACATTTTTTTTTCTGTTAATTTTTGGCAAAGCTAATAGGCCTACTTTTGTTCTCTTTTTGATCTCATGAAATAGGAATAGACAAACATTATGCCATTATTCTGTCAATATTTTT